GTATTTCCGTGCTGATTATATTCCAGTTTCCATGACAACACTGAGACATAATTCTTTCACGTCATTAAATTTGTTCTTTGAATTCCAGCTTGTCGAGACTTCAGTTGCCTCAAGCTAAACCACAATGACCAGGGTTAAAACTTCGATTATCGTTGGTCGATTTGTATTCTTCGCTTTGATGGTTACGCAGTGCTTTTTCTTGGCGTCATATCCAGCGTATTACGAAGACGAAGACGCGTGGTATGCAGTCAGTTTACTGTTCTTTCCTGCGGTGACGATGTGGTGGTGTCTCATTAGCATTGATGCAACGCTCTATCAAGTTTATATTTTCTGGATGTTGTATATTTGGCTTGGGATAGTTCCTATGATTGGCATCGTATTTGGCAAAACTGGCAACAAAGTCGAAAATCAAGGATTTTGGAATGCGAACACTTTGAAAATGACTCTCTGTATAACACCGCTTCTTCACTTCCTGATACGTCACACCGGTATAGCAACAACTGACAGTCACGTTCATGTCACAGAACTCAGCGAGTGGTCTGCGAAAGCCATAATGAATTTGTTCGATGGAATCGAACTAATAGCAGTCGTCTTAGATGAAAACGAGTGCAGCTATGGAATTTCCAGACATTTCATGAATACGCTCATTGCTTTTACTTGTATAAGCTTCCTGTGGTGGCCATTTGATATGCTAATATATGAGTCTTATGATGACTCTGTGGTTCGTGTTCTTGATTTTGTTCAAGTATCTTTCGACACGATTTTCCTTGGTCTCCGGTTGGGATTATGCCTGGGCTATGGCAAAAATACATCTATTTTCATCAACAAAAATATCATTATCGTATTTGTCTATTCGCGTCGTACTTTCAACTTCTTCTTTGAGTCGCAAGACTCGAACAATGGCTCTACAGCAAATCAACAACAGGGCGAATCCCGTTCGTCTTCGGCATCCTCTACAGCACCTGTTGTTCCTGCAAATACCTCTAGGAGTGGTCATGCTCGTGTATCCAGGTCGTCTATAGCTCCCCTTCCCACTGCATCAGCACCCTCATATGAAGACACACCACTTCCTCCGTATGACGTTGATTCACCACCCCCGTACACTACTGCTCCACCACCCCCGTATAGTACAGTATAGTACTGCACCGTTACCCCCGTGAAATTCGGAAGGCATACATGTTTGATCATGTAAGTTGTCAATGTCCTGTTTACGTGGAATACAAACAAGACATGTATCTGCCTTGCTGTGGGCATGTTTGCAAGATTCCACTGATGTCCCTCGGATTAAAATGTGAACACTTTTACATGTCATTAGCTAATGAGAAAAAAGATTTCCGTATAGTAATGTTATGTCAGTTTTCTTGAAAGCAACGATATGGCATTTATTATCTCATTCCATGACCGGTTTTATATAAAGAAAGATAGTTCAAAAGCGGATTCTAACAGCTTGCATGATCACAAGCGGTTTGATATGTGACAAGTTCAGCTTTTAAATTAAGTATTTTGTTTTTACACAAGGGGAGTAGACTGAGTGTGTTATTGTTAATGTCATCCATTTGTAAATAACGAGACTTGCTACAACTGTAGATAAGAACCTTTTTGTAAACGGCTGCCAATATACTAAATTCCTTTGTAAGAATTAAAATTAGCCTTACTAACCTCGTTTTTAAGTTGATAATTCAAAAGGATTTTTAATCTCTACGAGCGAGGTTAGTGATGCTAATTTAAATGCCCACAAAAGAATTTTAAATTGGCAAGCATTCATGTCTTATTTCAGTGATAAGGTGTTTCTTATTTTGGCGGGCTTGTACCTAGAGAAATTTAGCTATATATTGCATACTGGTTTTTGTAACTTTTAATTTACTATGACTAGTAGAGCGACTAATTTTATTGGAACTTTGTAGAAGTGACTGTGTTCATGACTATCTATTGTAGCTAAGAGTTCTTACCCAGTTCAAAACTTCACTAACTAAAAAAACAACCCCTTCCCCAAATTGCCCAGTCCAGTGGGCAGACGTGCAATTTCCATTGGCCATGAATGTGTGCCTTTCTAACAACACAGACATTTCCGAAGTACAATGGTATTCCTGAGGTTTACAAACGGATTGTTTGTTATTCACTTACATGCAAGCATTTCGTCGACACGTAAACGACACAAGCGTATGTATTTTCCTAAACGTACAGCAAAAACGGATACATTAGTGAAGGCTGACATCACGTCAAGTAACATACACATGCTCAATATCGGTCTCGTACCCAGACATCTCGGATTTATGTGGACGAAAATAATTGTCTAGGTTTACAGGCGTAAACCGATACTGCTGGACACAGCCTGTGTTATCATTTTGATTGGACGTAATAGTAATTGGACCGAGCGGAGCACAGTTCAGGCAGTTGCGTGGGAGAAATTTCAAAATCGACCGAGCGCGCAGGGCAGGCCGCTGATTCAAAATTATGGACGCGACTATTCTGTAAATTGTGCGAAATGAGGTCAGTTTCTAATTTGTTGTATCGAATAGTACTGTAGTAATCAAAGATAAGAGCAATAAGTTCAGCAGGGCATAGGGTATTTTCTGGGAAAGCTGTTTGTTGAAGGGAGAGTATAAAAACTAATGAGAGATGGATGGGAAGCTAGTGAAAATTTCCAGTCTCTAAGCAACATGAGCCTGTTAAAATCATTCATAACACAAGTTTTATTTTATGACAACGTAATAATTGTGAAAAACTGTAAAAGCCAGAAAACCTTGAATTTTAATGAACACCCAACCTAAAGTCGCACGAGAGTGTTTAGTGTATCGATGGCGAGGGACTGAGGTCGAGAGAGAAAATTACTTACCATTCTCCTCACGGCTACACCGCAGAAACAAAGCACTTGCGCGCGAAACCCAGCTACACAAGCCAGAGAAATCATGGCGTATTTTCGTCTTTCCGGAAAACTGTTCCTATGAAGGTTTCTCACCCACAACATGACCAGCTCCCAGGTGGCCTGATAACTTGGTTGGTAGAGCGGTCATGAGATCGATTTTTTTTTCAAAATCTATTTTCGCAACTGCGGTCAGGTTGATACGGAACTGCCAATAATCTCTGTTGTCTTGAAACCTTTATCCCGCTGATCAAATATAGCTAAATATATGATGTTTTATATATTTACTTGCATATGAAAGGTTGTAAGGAACAGTGACATAACCACAATATTTTGAGAAATATTTGACTCTTCGTGGAAAACGTGGGTTACATCTACTTAAAGTTTAGGCTAGTAACCAGGGGATTTATAATTTTGCTTATTATGACTTGCTCTTTACAGATGCAAAAGTATTTACCCAGTTTCTCATGGTCTTAGAGGTAACAATTAGTAAACGTCATAAAGTACGGAATGAATAGCTGGTTTTCACATGACGTCACTAAAATTCAAACTACAAAACTATTGATCTTCCTGAGATTTTACTTTTAAAAATGATGTATAAGAGCAGCTGAGAACTAATATTCATACAAATTTTCGCTCCGAATGGGTTCTTGGTGTTGTGATACACAACGCTTGAATTTCTAAGCTTTTGCGTGACGCGGCATTTACATGACGGCCTAGAGAGCTGTCATGATGGTTAAAAAAGTGACTTAT